CCACTCCAACCATTGGCTCAGCTCAGGTTCGGGTAGTGGCTCGTCCCACTCCAGATGTTTCCACCAGAGTCGCTGCATCATCATCTTTGCTCTCACGGTAACAGGAGCAGCAATCCCCAGAGGGTCAAAAATTGTTGACACTTTGCTGAGCACACCACGCTTGGTTGCACTCACTTCTTTGGCTTGGAGACGAAACCCCAATGTGTCCTCGTCTTCCTCCCATGCGATGCCCAGCGTCTTTTCAGCGGTGTGCGTGCTCCTGAGACATAGGCTCGCAGAGGCGCTGGCTTTCTCACTCTCTGGAACGCCTTTCAGCACAGCGGGGGAACTGCTTCTCCACTTCGTGAGGTGAAAACCTCCTCTCTCCAGTGCCTCCTTCACGTCAGCGTACAGCTGTTTGGCGGCGTCTTCCGTCATGCAAGAGAACAGGCAATCGTCCATGTAGAACGACTTTGCCAGTTGCTCGGGACTTCTGCTGAGAATCTTGTCTGTCTCCGCTCCATGGTCCAGAAGTGCTTTTCTCAGCACGTAGTTGGCCGTTGCCGGTGATGACTTCGCGCCAAAGATGACCACCTCCATCTGATAGACGTCAGGCTTGCGGTGTCGCTCCATATCTCGCCATAGAAAGCTCGATGCAGGCTGGTCTTCTGTCCGGATCCTCACCTGATGATACATCTGCTTGATGTCCGCGGTCACAGCGATCACACCTTCCCTGAAGCGCATGATCACCCCAGGAAGGCTTTGTAGTAGATCTGGACCTGTGATGAGCTTCGAGTTCAGTGATACACCTTGGTATGTTGCCGCAGCGTCAAAAACGATTCTCAGCTTCCCTGGCTTGTTCGGATTCACTACTGCGTGGTGTGGCAGATACCAACGCTTCTCCTTCGGTTCGTCCGCTTCTTCTGCTGAAAGCTTCCTTGCGTGACCATCCTTCACATATCCGTCGATGATGGCTTGGTACCTTGTGGCCAGTTCTGGCTGCTTGTCGAGTTTCCTCTCAATGGACTGGAGACGTCGGTACGCTTGGTTCCAGTTGTCCGGTAACATCGGTTCGTCTTCACCCCACAGAAGTCCAGCTTCATATCTGTCCCCCACCTTCCTGGTCTGCTGATCCAAGATTCGCATAGCTCTGAGATCTTCTTGAGATCGTGCATCAGAGCTGTTGATCATGGTGCCGAAGGCCTCGGTCGTCCACCAGTCTTGGACCAACTCTTGCAGACCCTCCAGAGCGTCTTCGGGAGCACGTTGACGCACGAACATGACTTGCCGCATTGTGCTTGGAATCAGGGTGGATATCGATCCCGTCAGGGTCCAGCCAAAGTCTGTCCGGATAGCGACGGGCATTCCGGGGCCTCCCACCCTGACCTCTCGCTGCAGCACAGCTTCCAGAATGTTGGCACCAAGTAGGAGCTCGACGTGTGCGCCGTTGTACTGCTGTAGGTCCAGGTCCTGCAAGTGCTTCCAGCTGCGAAGCTGCTTGCTACTCATGCTGGGTGGGGCCACGTTCAACCTTGGCACAGACCACACCTCGGGCACGCCGATTCGATTTCTGCTGGTCGCTGTGCTCAGAGGACTGACCGTCAGCTGAACTCGAAGAGACGACTGTCTGGTACCGCTTCCTTCGATGTTCTGTAGCTGCAGATTCTCTCGGACTCCAGGGACCCCAACGTCTTCCAAGACATCTTCACAGCAGAGCGATGTCTGCGCTCCCGGGTCCAGCAGTGCTACTACGTCTCTCTCCCCGTTTGGGCCGTGAATCCGCACCGGCACCAACTGCAGCAGTGTGTCTGTCGTCTCTGTGAGAGCCGTGCCGACGATGCGACTTCCTTCTCGTGCCACTGTTTTTGGTTCTGTTTGGCTTTCTTCATTACAAGCGGCGCTTCTGTCCACATGTATGAGTCGGTGATGAGATGCATTACATCCATTCAAGTTGCATCGTCTTGCAGAGCGGCAATCCCTCATGAAGTGACCCTTGTTCAGGCAGCCCCAACACAGTCGTTCCTTGCTCACTACGACCAGCCTCTCCTCCACCGTCTTCGACTTGAACTCCGTGCAATCCTGAAGCTTGTGCTGTTCCTTGCACAGGACACAGAACCAGCGACGTCGGTTGTTTTCCGTCTGGGAAGACGTAGCCGACGTAGTCAGAGTTGTTCGTCGCGCCGAGGTCTCCCGTGCACTCGCGGATGGCCTTTTCCTTTCTGGATCGCGGTTGTGGTTGGCTGAGTTTCTCAAGATGGCAGTCTCTGTCTCCAGCCACTTGCTGAAGATCTCCAGATCGGGCTGCTTGGGATGCATCTGATGCACTTCTCGTCCCCACTGGTAGGACAACTCCGCAGGAAGCTTCAATACTACTCGACGCAGGTTCTCGATGGCTCTCAGATCATTGTAGTGGTTCAGAGCGCGCAGCGTCAGCACAGTGTTGCTAACAGCTGAACTGAACCTCTCCACTGAGGCGATGTTGTTGATTGAAGGAGCTGGAGTTGCAAACATGGAGCTGAGATATGCTTGACTGATGTCGCCTTCTCGACCGAAACGCTCGTGCAGCCTTGCCAACGCTTGGTGATACATCTTGCCATCGAACAAGAATCCCTCGATGGCTTGATGGGCAACTCCATCTACTGCTTGTTGTAGATGCGCCATCCGCTCCGTGTCAGAGAGAGACGCCTGATCGTGAACCAGTGCTCTGAAGAGGCTGATCCAACGCGGCCACTCACTTGGATCTCCCGTGAACCGCGGCAAGCTGAGACGCGGAACACTGTTCGAGAAAGCTGCTGACATCCCATGAGGTGGATGCCCAGGCTTCTCTTGACCTTTGTTGTTTGATGTCCAGTTCTTTGGGTTCAAAGATGAACCATCTACTTCCGGTGCTGCCTTGGGTCCGTCGTTCTGTTCTTGTGATCTTGAGTCAACCACATTGTCGGGCGCGTCCCGGCAATTTGGTGTTTCGGTGGCTTGATCCAACCCCGTACATTCAGCAGACCCTTTGCTGTCCTTGATGGCGGTGTCATCGAAGTCATGTCGACGGTCCCAATTAAGTTCATCTTCCGCAGCGCGGTACATATGTAGCTTTCGAGCCGCCCTGGCTCTAGCCCTTTCTGCTTTCTTTAGTTCCAGTGCATCGTCACGTTCTTCTAAGTTCCATTGTTCTTGCTGTCGTAACTTCTCTGCTTCCAATCGCGCCATTTCTTTCTCCAAGCGCTCTTTTCTGATACGACGTGCCTCCTCGAGCTGTGCTCTAACATCGTTCACCTGGCAGTCGGCATCATCCAACTCAACTGCCGCTTCTCGTGACCGGACTGAGGCGGCCGTCTCTGCCGACGTGTGTGACCTGGCACGACTTCGAGCGTGACGGGAGGTGGCAGCTGATGACTTGGCTTCATCCAGCCCCTGAAGATACTCCTGGATCTTCCCTTGAATAGCCGACTCTTCTTCTTCAAGATTATCAGCGTATCCCTGAGCTTCGTCCAGTTCTGCGTCATTGAGTTTGCTTTCATACTCCTGATGAGCTTTTCTCAAATCAGAAAAAGCTTCTTTCAGCCTTCCGTTTACCTCCTGGATGCGATCGCGGTTCCGCTGTCTTGCTATCTCTGCCTCTAACACCTTGGACACCCTCGTCACGACAGCCCTCTTGATACCACGCAGTCGTCGCAGATCAGCAAGCTCTTGATCTCTAACATCCTTGAAAGCTCCATCTGCAGTGGGATCGGGCCGTTTGACATCCTTTGCCTCTTCTTTTTCTATCCCCATCTTCTCCTGTTCAGCTCACTGGGTCGCAATCCGGCCCGCGGAGGACCAGAAATGTCGCCACGTGTCCTCTGGTATTTCACACGCCAACGACACTTATTTAGCCGGATTATAAACAAGGACTGTAGGAGAGCGATGGGTAGATAAGGATGGTGAGGAAGACGCCAGCCGCTGCCGATTCCAGCCTCTCGATGGCGAGACCACTGTAATCGGACAGATCAACCGATACTCCGGCGCCTCGATGGCAAGGCTAGCCGGAGCCGACTGGTCGCACCCCTGTCTGAGCGGAGACCCCGCACCCGAGCCTCGATGGCAAGACCCGGGAAACGAGTTTAAGCTCAGTGACTCGATGGCGAGACACTGTGGCCGCCTCCCTCACACACCCCGGAAGAGGCCGTGTTATGAGTCCCGGATGGAAGGAAATGATCGGCTACTCGCACGCTGAGAAGACTCGCTGCTGTTCACTGTTCCGTCCCTTTTCCACTGGTCCAGCTCCTCTCCACACCAGTTAAGATATTTCACTTGCTGTATTGTGCACCACCACCACACCACAGCCAGCGCACCACATCCAACGCACAAGCACTTCCCCGCCGAGCATCAAGACCGAACTCCCCTCGAGCCCCGTGCGCCGACCCGAGGTCACCTCGCCGGCGCCCCGAGGGCAGGAGCCCACACAGCCAATCACGGGGCCGCTTACAATGAGCCAGCTCAGTGCCGGCATAGCCCCGAGCGCCACGTGGTCGGCCGGCCGCCACATGGCCCGCTCGGTGGTCCCGGGCGGCCCGGCCTGCAGCCGCCGGTGCTAACAGTGGCTATGCGGTAACCGTTTAGCTCTCAGAGTGCTTCTGCAAAGTGCATTTTGTACAGTGTGCACTGTGCACTCTTGGTTTCATCAGCCCGTTGTCATGTCCTGCTCGGTTCACCGACAGACGTGATAGCAATGACGTGAGGCTCAAGTCTGACATAAATGCCAGACACGCGGAGTTGACTTATGAAGGCAAACTGCGAACGATACCTGGATTTGAGAGTGCCTTGTGAAAAAAGCGCACGGCTCAGCTAGGCCTGGTTACTGCGGGCTAGGGAGGATGGGAATGAAACACGGCTGGAAAAGGAGTTGCTGAAATCCTGAACTTTGGCTCAGGCGCTATTAGTAGGTATAGCGTTATTACCATTCCGGCGCTAGTTCCCCAAATTGCTGCCATCTCCCGCCCCGCTAACCCGCTACCACAGGCCGAACTCGGCTATCCCCCGCTACCATGCTTCTGCAGCGCTCGCCCAGGCTGCATGGTTCTACTGCTTCTGGGCTGACCGCCTGCCGCCCTGCCGCCTCCATTGCAGATGTGCAGCAGGAGAAGACGCATAACGCCCTGCTCGAGGGCGTCGAGAAGTTCGATTCCGAGCAGCTGAAGAAGACGGAGACCCAGGAGAAGAACCGCCTCCCCTCTCCCGACGGTAATGCCTCAGAGACGAGCATAGCTTATTCTTGGCTTATTTTTCCCTCGGCTTTCCTTAGACATATGAATTCCGAGCTTTTCCCTCTCTGCTTCTTTGGTGATTGTCCGACTATAACTAAGGCGGGGTTAGATGGATCGTGTTTATCCCATATGCTAAAAGTATTCCGACCGGTATCGATTGTACATAATCGCAGTGTTCATGATGATTTATCGTGCGTATGATAAGTGCATGTTATTAACTTCTTCGGAACACGACCGTCCTGAAACATAAGTCATCGATCGTGTAAAACCCAAGCCCCTGTGAGCTTGTTGTGGAGACCGGAGAGTATATCAGATACCTGCCTGGATGGCAGACGTTCAACACTTTTATCATGTCCATCATAACACACCCATACCCGGACCCCCACATCCGCCCGCTGTGGATGTGGCCAGCCTCTAACGAACGCTGACAGTCTCTGCCGGCTCAACATTTGAACACGTGATCCCACTGCACATTCTATGTCAGCTGTCATTTGATCAGGGTGTTGTTCCTTCCAAATGGAAACAGGCCAACGTCGTCCCGATTTTTAAGAGTGGCAATCGTGCAGATCCCAAGAACTACAGGTCCATCTCATTGCTGCCTCTTTTCGGTCGTGTTCTGGAGAAAGTAGCGTGTGATGTATTGATGAGCCATGTGCGACCCACCCTGTCTGATGCTCAGCATGGATTTCTATCTGGGCGCTCGTGTACCACAAATCTCGCGGTCTATCTGCATCACGCGTGGCTGTCCATGTCGGAGGGGTGCCAGACGGACGTGATATACACTGATTTTTCGGCAGCATTTCAAAGCGTTAACCACAGGCTACTGGTACACAAACTTCAAAATTCTTTCCAAATTAGCGGACATACCTTAGCCTGGCTCGTCTGTACCTCTCCGACCGCACACAGCGTGTAGTTCTGAATGGGAAAACGTCAGAATGGACATCTGTTATCTCTGGCACCCCTGAAGGCGGCATTTTATCCCCGCTACTTTTTAGCTTATACGTTAATGACTTACCATCTGTCATCGAATCCCATTCACTCATGTATGCTGACGACTTAAAGCTGTTTAGACATGTGCGGTCGCACAACGACTGCATCCTTCTCCAGGATGACCTGAACCGTGTCTCAGATTGGGCCGAAACATGGAAACTGTCTCTCAATGCATCAAAGTGCAAAACCATGTCGGTCACGCTTAAACGAAACCCTGTGCGATATGTATACACCGTCGATGGAACAGTTTTAGAAAAAGTAGACACAATGCGCGACCTTGGTGTGCTTTTAGACAGCAAACTGACCTTCAACGCACACGTCGATTTCATCGTTTCTAAGGCTCGCCGTGCTTTGGGTGTGCTCATGCGATCGTTTCAGTTTTGTCATGGAAAGAATGGGCAGTTGAATGAAGGGGCCGTCATGGCCGCATACTTTGCTAACGTCCGTTCTGTCTTAGAATTTGGATCCCAGATCTGGTCAGGCGCGGCAAAAACACATCTGGACAGGATAGAGCGCGTACAACATAAGCTCCTGTTATGGCTTGTTCACCGCACTGCGAACAGAAGGATGTCGTCTGACCTCTCATATGACGGACTGCTAGCGCTGTTTAAGCTGCCATCACTCGCATCTCGCAGGCTACAGCATGACATTACTCTGTTATATAGTATTATTAGAAGTAGATGTGACTCCATGTACCTTTTAAGTTGTTTTTCCATTCGTGTGCCATCAAGAACTGCTCGCTACCGGGCCAGCTTCTTCGAACCTGTCGCCAGGGTAAATTCGGTCAAGAACGGGATGTTTTGCCGACTGCCCCGACTTGCCAATGATTTTATAGCTCGATGTCCCCATGTTGACCTTTTTCATGACAGTAGGTCCGTGGTGATGAAAAGTGTGATCATGCGTGCGGTGTAATATCCTGTTGGCTGTTTACGACTTATATTTATTGTTTTATACGGATGACTTTGCCTATTAGTGGGAGGCCTTATCCGGTTGGCAATATACTGAATAAACAAACAAACAAACACCACTCACCCACACACACCGATAAGGATTATGCCGCTGGCCACTGGCTGTTTAGCACAGACCCGGTGAGTCACCCATCTCCGCCCTCTGTGTGCCCCGGCCCCTCCCCATCTGTGTCCCCGAGCCGCGGGCGAGGACGTCAGCCGTGCGCTGACGGTCCGCCGGCACTGCCATGTTTGGGCCGTCGGTACCGTCTTACATGCGTCATTTGCATCCCGTCCCGCTGTGCATACAACCTGCCGGTCGCCGAATACGGCGCACGCGAGACGCTCCCGGCTCTGGTCGTGCTGTGAGGTCCTCCGTCTTCGATAACCAGATTTGGAGATGGTTAGATGAAAGGAAGTGGAACGTTTCCGGTTCGGGGAGCAGGAAGAACGTTTACATAGGGAGACGTTGTACTGCAATCTGATTAGATGTTGGTTCTTCCCATTAGCACATACACATATTTTGTTTCGTGGTAGCAGTTTGATAAGCATTATAACCCGGAATGTTTTATCTCGATCATGTAATCGAAGTGTCTGTCGCTTGTCGGTAGACGGTCGGTCATGATGCTAGGCATTGGGATCTTTCAGCCAATCGGTCAGCCATTTATTCAGTTTGCTAGTCAGTCATTCAGTTTCCTGGTTGTTCTCTCGTGGGTCAGCAGGTCTGTCGGTTCGAGGGTCTGTCTTCCGGTCTGCTATGTGCGCGATCCTGTCTACCGCTCAGTCTGCTTGTGTGTCTGCCGTTGTGTCTGCCGGTGTGTCTGCGGCTGTGTTTACCGTTGTGTCTGCTGGTCTGTCCGAGACAGACGAGTAGACGGTAGACAAACGCGTTGCATACTGTCGTGGTTGGGCCTGGGCCTACCAGTCAGTCTGCTCGGATGAGTCTGTTGGTCAGTCTGCCGATCAGTCTGCCGATCAGTCTGCCGATCAGTCTGCCAGTCAAGTCTTCCAGTCAGTCTGTGCTCGGGTCAGTCTGACAGTCACTCTGCCGGTCAGCCTGTACGCGGGTCGCGTGCCAGCCGACCTCCCGCCGGCCGCCACGACTCAGCCGCCGCATCCCGGGCCGACCGACCCCTGGGCCGCCCGGCCGGCGACCCAGTCACTCCTTATATGGTAGTGTCGGGCCGAAGCCATAGAAGCCGCGGCGAGCGGGCCGCGTTCCACGCCCCACCGCACTGGGCCCGGCCCGCTCTCCGGCTCTCCGGCCGCCAGACTCTCCGGCGCTCTCTCCGGCAGGCGGAAGTCGTGTGACCTCCAGGAACCGACAGAGAAGGGTTGGGGAGAACAGGACTCAATTGCTTGACGTCACTGTATAGACGACGAAATCATGCCGTTTTAAAGACGCACGAGTTTGGTTCAGCGTGAGACGTCTAATTTTGGTTTCATTCCGTGGCGTTTTCACTTGTCTTGTTTTGTATTTTTAATCTCAGGAACGTGTTAGAAGTAACTACAAAACATTATCGTTACCATTTTTGTAGGTCTACCGCCAGCATTTATTTATCCGTTTACCGTTATACCTCGAGTGTGGTCTATGGCTGAGTTCTGACGATGGATGCTGGGCCAGTTAAACGATGAGCGACAAGAACGTATAAATGTCATCTGTTGTAATCATACCTTCTCAGGTATCTCCTCAAACCCCCGATCTGAGCTGAGCATAAGTCCTTTTGTCCGTCTTTTTGTTTGTCTGAGCAAACCGTGCAAATTGTTCTATAAATAAGTGATTATCAATTCCCGCCATATCGCATGGTCCCTGCATGCCCATTGCACACCTGCCCCGCCAATACCTACCCGCTCCAATTTTGCATACTGCTACATGGCTCTGCCCGCCACCCCAGAGCGCCTATCGCCTAGCTGAGCCTGACCGCTTGTGGCCGTCTGCATTTCTCTCTGACAGATGTGCAGCAGGAGAAGACGCACCAGAGCCTGCTGACGGGTGTGGAGCACTTCAACAAGGACTCGATGAAGAACGTCACCCCCGAGGAGAAGACCCACCTGCCCAGTCCCGAAGGTCGGTTCCCCGGCGCCGTTGTGGGGCGCCCGGTGATCCACGGGCATTGTGTGGCGTCATTAATTCCAGAATAGATGACACGTAACTTCGATGACGGATAAAACAATGCCGACGTATCCGTATTAGTACCTATACGGGGTACGGCTACGGAACCACCGTTGCTAAAGACAACGTGTCGTGCGTTTACTAATGGTTGGAAGCTAAGACTGACAGCTTTTTTACATTTCTCCGCAGAGATTCAGCAGGAGAAGAAGCTCCAGTCGCATCTGGACGGAATCGAGAACTTCGACGCCAACAAGCTGAAGCACGCCGATACCGTGGAGAAAAACTCTCTGCCCACCGCGGATGGTAAGGCATATGCAGGGAATGGGGCATTTTATGGTTCGATCGACAGGGTTCATGATTACATTCCGATACAAAGCGTATATGTAGGCAGAATGACACGCGTTGAACGAAACTTAATCAAATACAATATTTGTGAGTCGTAATCGTTGTTTGTCGAGGAAGGGGTTGTTTCATTTTACGATTTTGAAAGACAAGGATTTTTATATGACGTCTGTGAGCTGTCAATTAGTGACTTTAGCCTCGCCTAGTGTTCGTTTATCCATTCCCTGGCCAATGACTATCGATAACCGTCTAACACTTTCCCGTTTCTTTTCAGATATCAAGTCGGAAAAGACCGCCTAGGCTGGACGCGGCGTACCATTCACCTTTCATCCGGTCCTCCCGTCGTGTGCGTTCTAACCGCTATCTGCCTGCGCTGGCCGCGACTCTACAGTGCCCCCTGGCCAGTGCTTTGGAACGGAGCTCGAGCCGTGGCGCTGCTAAAGGCCAGTGGCGCGGCACCAGTGACTTGCGTAGGTGGCGCTAGTATCACGTGAATAGATGTCGCTGGCGTATTGGAATGTTTACGGACCGTCCAAGACTTGTTAGCACTGGACAGAAGTGAATTATCAAAGGTGCTGTTAGTCTTTACCGTGATCAAGTTTGCGGTCCTTCACACTTACTCTATGTAAGGTTATACAGAAAACCTTTCGCCTATGATTTCCTGTCATGATGTGCTGTGGAATGATTATCTGCATTTAGGAGCAAATAAATTTGTATAAAATGCTACCTGATTGTCTTCTAAAATCGTCGTAAGCAACGTACTCCTAGGCATGCGAAGTCACGTCAATGTACTGGTGAACTGTCAGCTGTATGCATTTGCATGGACGATATCTCTCATGGTCGCAAACTCGCAAGAATGATGTGACGGGTGATCAACGTAGAGCAGCATGTACCCAACAGTAAACGTCGCAAAATATAAAAATAACTGTAAAACGTTACGGTAAGATATACGAAAACGTGAGATTCAAGAAAGGCTCAGGAATAGAGTTCGAAAATTTCATTGATACCTCAGGTAGACAAACAACTACGATGAATGCATAGACGACATCCGTAATCAAGCATTCCGAATGATTACATAGGTATGTTTTCGAAAGACGCTATAAAACACGATCGATTTAGCGACGATTGACAATCAACTAAACGTGCAACAGGCAGGCCCGTGATAGGTTCGCCTCCATATTACTCTCCAAATTGGTATCCGTTTTTATGATTACTCTGATTCTGATTGCTTCTATGATGCTACCGGAACGCAGAGACACTGTCTTTTGTGGTTATAAAATCTCTCGTCTAATGATTTGAGATGGTCATGAGGGTGTCGTCTACATAGGCACGTACGTACGTCATATAGTTCGGTACCTACCTGCTATTGCAAGTAAGTAGACTCTCTCGCATACCATTCAATATTGCCAGCACTGAATTCACTCATTTTTAAAAATGGTTTGATCAGAATCTTGCCTTTTTACTGAACGAATGCATCCAGTATTACCCCAGTCCCCACTCCACTACCTTTGGCCATTAGGTATCTATTACACTTTGCTTTGGTTTAGTCTTTTCCGTTGACCCAAAGGTCAAAATTCTAATATCAGTGTTATTCCTGCAAGGAGCGCCATAACTTTCGCCTCGAATCTTGAGATATTGACTTTGTTGCTGCTGTGGGCGTCATATCGGGCTCCTTATTGGGAGCTCGGTGTTTTATGAGACGGCGCCGGGAGCGTATACCATCTCTGGTGCCGCGGACTAACAGCCAATCTGTAACCCAATCCCGGGTAGGAAATTCTCCGCGGCCGGAGAAAAGTTGAAAAAACACCCCGAGGTCAATCTGCCGCCGGTGGTTTATTAGGAGCTGTGGTGTTTGGTTTGGAACGAATCGCAGACTTTTCAGCATTTCAGTACCTACACTGAGAGTGTTGAAGGGGATTGAGCTAGGCACAACAATAGATAATTATATACCTATAGGTACGGTCGGTTTTCGTGTGAAACTCTCATTAGGCCTCAGACGACTTCTGTTAACGCGTTTGCCCGGCTGAACGGCATCATTTCAATAGTTTCTCTTTTCAGACTCTCCGCTGACCGCTTGTGAATTGAAATAATGCGTCCGCCTTGGCTCCTGAAAACGTTCTTTGTGCGAGCAGCCGGCACACCAAGCTATCAGCAGAAGCCTCGGCCGTCGCTTTTTGTCACAGTATCTCAAGGCCAACCGAGCGCGTGGCCTGACCGTAGCACCACCGATGGCGTCATCTAACCCTCCCCCTCCCCCTCCCCCTCCCCCGGCCCGCACCGCACCCGTGCATGCACAGACGCTCGCCAGCGCCGCCGCGCCGCGCTGCGGGCCGCCGGCCGGGTGGCTGTGTATTTTCGTTCAACGAGAGTGACCCGGGGAATACCCCAGAGGGCGCTCGAGTAAGACCGGAATGTTAAACAGAGAACGGGGGTCACTCGACACGCGCCGGTTCCTCTCACTGGTGTGTGTGAGTGAGCCGGACCCGGGCCGGCCCGGGATGAGAGGTAAGTTTAGAGAGGCTCACTCGAGCCATGGATTAGGTATTCCTCATCCATGCTCGAGCATCGAGACCGGACCCAAGTGCAGTATATAACATAAAGTGTGGCGCCACTTGAACCCGGTCTGAATGCCTCAATATGGTTTGGTGCTCGTGTGGGTGACTTATTCATTATGTTTTTATGTCTTTTCAGTTTGCAGTGTTTGCTCTAGTTCAGGGTAGTAGGGACATGTGCGTATCTGTTACAGCCGTATACGTTTACCGATGTGTGATATGTTTAGCTTGGCAAACACGGTCGGGGGATTCTACTGTTTTACGTCTCCATTTGTGTCGCTTTTTAGACTTCGCGCCAAACAATGATAACGCAAGTTGGAAGTTGAAATCTCCTTTCAAGCCTCTCAGGCTACTTCGAGTTCAGTATACCCTGACTTCGAGTTATCTCTGTAATCCACATAGGTCCCGATAGCTTTGCATTATAGACAGGAGGTACACACATTCTCCGTCTTATCACGATTAAAGATAGTCGACGAATGATGTGTGACTCATTCTCGACTGAAGGCTGACAGCGTTAGGTGTGGCGCAGACTGCAGCCGTCTGCCGCTGGCACGAGTCGGGTGCGACCTGTCCACTGGCGGATCCAAGGGGAGGGGGGGGGGGGCACGGGGCCATGCCCCCCCAAAGGCCTAAAGTTGCCTGCTTGGCCCCCCAAAACGTCAGAAAAATTGCTAAGAAAATATACCTTGGGGTGGAGGTTTTTAGCCACTTGGTGAAGTAAAGCTTTCCACAGCATAATATGGAAGCAATATGGTAGCAGTGAGGGTCAGTCAAAAGTTGCGCGAGCGGAGTCGACCTTCAAAAAAAAAAAAGACTGTTGTTGGCACGTGCATAAAGTTGCATTATATTCACATTCAGATTCGCGTGCACATTCGCGGACCCCTCAGATTTGGCTCAAAATTACACAGCTTATAGATTTTGAGCTCCTGATTGCGAAAATCATGTTTTTATTTCACGCCGTCAAGTGGTTCTCAAAATATTCACATTTGTATTACTGCTAACATATTCTGGACCGTAACCCTTATTGGAAAAATCGGACCCCTCCAAATTTTTCAAAAACTCCTGAGTTGATGTAAACATAAGCGCTGATCCCAAAAAACTATTTTGTACTTAACGCCGTCCCATAGTTTTCTCAGTATGAGCATCTAAAGTTCAAGGTCGTTCAAGGTCATGTACCTTTTCTCACCTTTTGGCGCTATTTGACACGTGACAGCTTTATATTTATGATGGACATTCGCACTTCCTCCTACAAAGACAATATACTGAAATCCAAGGGCCGTTGCTGTACCAAAATGTAAAAAAAAGCGTCAAAACCTCTTTCATACAGCTAACAGTTAAATACAAGGGATATTCGAATTTGCCACACATAAAGCAAATTTGTCGGACATGGTCGGACCCCTCCGATATCGTTCAAAATCTCAGGAATGATGCTCCTTGACCTTCTGAACATGAAAATGGTACTCCCTTTGAACGCCGTCAAGAACTTTTCCAGATATACGCATCCATGTACATTCAAATTACATAGGTGTTGCATATGGACGTTCGGCGGACCCCTCCGATTTCGTTCAAAATCTCAGGAATGATGCTCCTTGACCTTCTGAACATGAAAATGGCACTCCCTTTGAACGCCGTCAAGAACTTTTCCAGATATACGCATCCATGCACATTCAAATTGCATAGGTGTTGCATATGCTCGTTCGGCGGACCCTCCGATTCCGTTCAAAATCTCAGGAATGATGCTCCTTGACCTCCTGAACATGAAAATGGTACTCCCTTTGAACGCCGTCAAGAACTTTTCCAGATATACGCATCCATGTACATTCAAATTACATAGGTGTTGCATATGGACGTTCGGCGGACCCCTCCGATTTCGTTCAAAATCTCAGGAATGATGCTCCTTGACCTCCTGAACATGAAAATGGCACTCCCTTTGAACGCCGTCAAGAACTTTTCCAGATATACGCATCCATGCACATTCAAATTGCATAGGTGTTGCATATGCTCGTTCGGCGGACCCTCCGATTCCGTTCAAAATCTCAGGAATGATGCTCCTTGACCTCCTGAACATGAAAATGGCACTCCCTTTGAACGCCGTCAAGAACTTTTCCAGATATACGCATCCATGCACATTCAAATTGCATAGGTGATGCATATGCACGTTCGGCGGACCCCTCCGATTTCGTTCAAAATCTCAGGAATGATGCTCCTTGGCCTCCTGAACATGAAAATAGTACTCCCTTTGAACGCCGTCAAGAACTTTTCCAGATATACGCATCCATGCACATTCAAATTGCATAGGTGATGCATATGCACGTTCGGCGGACCCCTCCGATTTCGTTCAAAATCTCAGGAATGATGCTCCTTGATCTCCTGAACATGAAAATGGTACTCCCTTTGAACGCCGTCAAGAACTTTTCCAGATATACGAATCAATGCACATTCAAATTGCATAGGTGTTGCATATGCACGTTCGGCGGACCCCTCCGATTCCGTTCAAAATCTCAGGAATGATGCTCCTTGACCTCCTGAACATGAAAATGGCACTCCCTTTGAACGCCGTCAAGAACTTTTTCAGATATACGCATCCATGCATATTCAAATTGCATAGGTGTTGCATATGCTCGTTCGGCGGACCCCTCCGATTTCGTTCAAAATCTCAGGAATGATGCTCCTTGACCTCCTGAACATGAAAATAGTACTCCCTTTGAACGCCGTCAAGAACTTTTCGTGATATACGCATCCATGCACATTCAAATTGCATAGGTGATGCATATGCACGTTCGTCGGACCCCTCCGATTTCGTTCAAAATCTCAGGAATGATGCTCCTTGATCTCCTGAACATGAAAATGGTACTCCCTTTGAACGCCGTCAAGAAATTTTCCAGATATGCGCATCAATGCACATTCAAATTGCATAGGTGTTGCATATGCAGTATTGCAGTATGCACGTTCGGCGGACCCCTCCGATTTCGTTCAAAATCTCAGGAATGATGCTCCTTGACCTCTTGAACATGAAAATGGTACTCCCTTTGAACGCCGTCAAGAACTTTTCCAGATATACGCATCCATGCACATTCAAATTGCATAGGTGTTGCATATGCACGTTCGGCGGACCCCTCCGATTCCGTTCAAAATCTCAGGAATGATGCTCCTTGTCCTCCTGAACATGAAAAT